CACGATGAAAACGACGTCCTCCTGGTCCCCACCTCCTCCGGCCCCGTCCGGGGGACCCTCCTCCCCGTGGGTCCCCAAAAAGTGGGGGCTTTTTTGGGGATCCCTTACGCCGAACCCCCTTTGGGACCCCTTCGTTTCCGCCCCCCACGTCCCGCCCCACATTGGGGGGGGGGCCTGGACGCCACCTCCCACCGTCACGCCTGTTACCAAGCCGTGGACACCATGTTCCCCGGGTTCGGGGGGTCGGAGATGTGGAACCCCAACCGGGAGATGAGCGAGGATTGTCTCTACCTCAACGTGTGGGTCCCACTTGTAGGGGGTGAAAACGGGGCGGGGGGGGCATCCCGCCCCATAACCCCCCCCAAACCCGTCCCCGTCTTGGTGTGGGTCTACGGGGGGGGTTTCTACAGCGGGTCGGCCACCTTGGACGTCTACGACGGGCGTTATTTGGCGGCGGCCGAAGGGTTGGTGGTGGTTTCCATGAATTATCGGGTGGGGGCTTTGGGGTTTTTGGGGTTCCCCGGTCACCCCGAAGCTCCAGGGAACGTGGGGTTGTTGGATCAACGCTTGGCTTTGAGGTGGGTCCAAAATAACGTCCGAGCTTTCGGGGGGGACCCGGGGGCCGTCACCCTTTTCGGCGAAAGCGCCGGCGCCGCTTCCATCGGGCTCCATTTGTTGTCCCCCCCGAGTCGCCCCCTTTTCCGTCGCGCCGTTCTCCAGAGCGGGTCCCCCAACGGCCCTTGGGTGACGGTGGGGGCGGCCGAAGGGAGGAGGAGGGCGGTCACTTTGGCTAAACTGGTGGGTTGTCCCAGTGGGGCAACTGGGATGACGACTGGGATGACTGGGACGACGATGACGGGACTCAACGAGACCGAGCTCTTGGGGTGTCTCCGAGCCAAGACCCCCCTGGAGTTGGTGGAACAAGAAGCCGCCGTTTTGCCCCAACAAGGGATCTTCCGCTTCGCCTTCGTCCCCGTGGTGGACGGGGACTTCTTGGCCGACACCCCCGAGGCCTTGTTGGGGGGAGGAGGAGGAGGTGGGGAGGACCTCCCCACCGCCCCCCAAGTGGATCTTCTCTTAGGAGCCGTCCAAGATGAAGGCACCTACTTTTTGGTCTACGGGGTGCCGGGTTTCGGGAAGGATAACGAGAGTTTAATTAGTCGGGAGGAGTTTTTGGGGGGGGTGAGGTTGGGGGTCCCCCAGGCCAACGAGTTGGCGGCGGAAGCGGTGGTTCTCCAGTACACCGACTGGTTGGACCAGGACAACCCCGTGAAGAACCGGGAAGCCCTGGATGACATCGTGGGCGACCACAACGTGGTGTGTCCCCTCATGCACTTCGCCCAACGGTGGGCGGAGAAAGGGGGGAAGGTCTACGCCTACCTCTTCGACCACCGGGCCTCCAACCTGCTGTGGCCCCCTTGGATGGGGGTGCCCCACGGCTACGAGATCGAGTTCGTCTTCGGGCAACCCCTCAACCCCAAACTCAACTACACGGAGGAGGAGGAGAAGCTCAGCCGGAGGATCATGCGCTACTGGGGCAACTTCGCCCGCACGGGGTGGGTGGAACCATCATCATGGGGTGGGTGGAGCCATCATGGGGTGGGTGGAACCATCATGGGGTGGGTGGAACCATCACCAGGGTGGTTGGCACCATCATTGGGGTTGGTGGAACCATCATGGGGGTGGGTGGAACCATCATGGGGTGGGTGGAACCATCACCAGGGTGGTTGGCACCATCATTGGGGTTGGTGGAACCATCATGGGGGTGGGTGGAACC